GGGGTGGCCTTGGCTTTTGTCCTGCGCTGTGTCCCACTTCTGCCCCGCGCTTACCTGCCCCTTCCTACAGGGGGCCCTGTTGACTGGCTCTCACTACACACCAGGAGGCGCGGGTGCGTGTCCTTGTTTTTAGGTGAGGACTGTGAAGGCTCAGAGAGAGCCTGTGCCGCCTGCCAGGTGTCCCAGCACCGCAGGTGGGTCTGATAGAGACACTTCCGCCTTCCTTTAAAGGGCTCCCCGTCCCGGAGAGCAGCGAATGAACAGACGCCGGCCAGAGAGCTCTCGTGCTTTTTCTTTCTGACCTCTGTTCCTAAAAATGGCCCAGGCAGAGGTATTTTGAATTAGATGAGAACATGGCTTAATCTGTACGACTTCCCCACCCCTGGTCCCAGTCAGGCTCCTAAACTCTGGGGTGTCTATTCAGCTGCCTGCTGGTAGTATTTGATAAACAGTTTGGGGCTCGTGTGTGACCCAAGAAATTCTCAAGCATCTGACCCTGGGCGTCTCTGGACTTACTTTCCGACCACCCCTGTACAGTTCATCCCCTCGTGGTGTCTGAGTGCCCACTTGGAGCCGGGCAGGGTTGGGTGCCAGCTAAACTGAGTGGAGGAGGCAAACGGTGGGGAGGGTGGGCCCTGGCCCTGGCATAGGACGGCTAGGGGCTGAGATGGCTGCCTTTAGGCTCAGCGTCATTGGCACTGGGCAGGGGCACGGAGAGTGATGGCACCTGCGTGAAGAGGCTGTATGGCCCACTCTGGCAGCAGCTGTGGTGTGCCCACAGTGTGCCAGGATGGCCCAGGTGTGGGGTAGAGCAGAGAGCCCAGGAGGTTGCTTCAGCACATCCTTGTGGGGGAGACAGACAGAGAACCACCTCGGAGGTGGGCCACCACCCTGAGTTACTGAGTCATCCTACCTGCAGAGAAGAACACAAAGAAGGCAGATGAGTCAGAGACCAGTGAGGGCGCACACTCCAGGGCCGGCGCTGAAGGGTGGGGGAAGCCCCGTGCCAAGCAGGAGTCCCTGGAGTTGGGCTTTCAGGGGCCTGGGAGTTTGCTCGGGCACTGGGGGCCTTTCAGCAGAGGGAGGACCGGAGCACTGGGCTGAGGCCCCTGCTGGCCTGGGTTTGAGGCGGGCTGTGGCCAGTGCCCAGGTGACTGATGGGAGCTGGGGGTGCCCGCACAGAAGCCTAGGCCGGGAGTCTGAAGCGCTTTAGAGGGGCGGGGGCATGGCCAGTGTGGGGACTGATGGAGCCATGGCAGTTGGGGGGCTGGAGGCAGGGAGGAGAGCGGGGAGAACTCTCCAACGAGGTGCAGGGAGACGCGAAGCTAGTCTTGAACTATAAATCGGAGTATCATCAACCCACACTTGTGCCCCCAGGTAAAATGAGGTCCTCAAAGAAGAGGGAGAATGGAAGGCATCGCCAGGTTCTAGCCACAGAGGAGCACAATGTCGAATTTTCTGATTCAGTTCAACATTTGCTGAGAGCCTGCTGGGCCACACTGGGGAACACAGAGCCGGGCGGAACATGACGCAGGCCCTGAAGGACCGAGCCATCTGGAGTCATCATCGCCTGTGACAGCTAAGGGAAAACGTGTCACCCACAGCTCCGGCCCAGGCCTGCAGGCTTCCTAGCTCAAACGAGGGATCTCAACGGCCAGAAAAATACCCCTGGCAGCAGCCCCTCCCCATGGCTTTTCTGGGGCTCTCTAGGGGGTTGGGACTTGGCTGCTAAAGGTCCAAATAGGTCCCCACAGAGCCTTTGAAGACCAAAGATGCTCTTTCTGACCCAGCGTACCACCATTTTATCAAGGTCAGAAGCCAGGAATCTGCCTGCTGCTCCGATTTCACTGAGTTGCAGAAGGCCCCTCAGCCAGCAGTCCAGAGCCCTGTTTTCATTTTCTTTTGCTGCTATAAAAAACCACCACATGTTCCAAAGCTTTAAACAACATGAATTTATTGTCTTACTGTTCTAGAGGTTGGAAGTCCAAAATGAGTCTTAGAAGTTTCTCACCAAGGTATCGTCAGCAGGGCTGGTTCCTTCCGGAGAATCTAGGAAGCGATCGGTCATTCCCCGCCTCTCCCAGCTTCGGGCACTGGCTGCGGTCCCGGGCCGTGGCCCCTTCCGGGAACACTCTCACTTCTTTCTTCTGCCATTGCGTTCCCCACCGTGGTGGTGCGTCTCCCTCTGCCTGCCTCGTAAAAGCCCCGTGATTATTACACTGGGCCCGTTCGGGTAACCTGGGATGGTCTCCCACCCTACGATCCTTAAGTGCATCCTGCCTGCACAGTCCTTTCCACTACATAAGAGAACCTATCTCAGGGCCCAGGGATTAAGACAGGCCCCAAAGTCTCACAGCCTGTAGGCAGCTCCTCCTGTCCTCAGGGCCTCCTGCACCCCAGGCACACATGCCCCACAGCAATGGCTGTGCCTGTGCCCACTCTGTGCCAGGAGCTGGGGGTGTGGCAGTGGTGACTTCTTGGGGCTCGTGAACCACCTACTGGGGGACAGTAATCCCACAAACAAATGTATCACATGCACCCAGATGGTGACGAGTCAGTATTAAGCAGGGTGCAGGTGCCAGCCACCTTGGGGAGGTCCTTCTTCAGATAGAGTGGGGGCATGTTCAGGGAGGGCCTCTTTGAGGAGGTGTCCTTTGAGTGGGGAAAGAATTAAATAAGGTAAGAAGACATGGGGAGGACTGGGAAAGAGCATGCCAGGAGGATGGGACAGCACATGAAAATGAGCTTGGCATGTTTGAGGGACAGCCGCAGTGGGTCCCCACAAGCCTCCCCTTGGGGGGCAACCCCTGTGGTCTAATGCCAGGTCTGGCTCACAGGACAGAATTCTCCTCCCTCACTAGGAATTGCCTGAGACTCTGCCCTGTGCCCTCCTGGTTGCCTAGCAGTTTCCCCCCTCCTGTAGGAGAAACCAGGATAAATGCTGTTCCCTGGGGTGCCCACGGAGCAGTGACCTCCCCCTGCAGCTCTCTTCACACCTGGCCACGCCACCACCTGGAGAAGGGACGGGCATGGGGTGTCCTCTGCTCTGTCCACCACGCCCCCCTCCCTGCCGCTCTTCTAGACCAGATCTCTGATGAATATGGCTCGGCGTGTTTGAGACATCACGCCGCCTCAGAGGAGGGCTGCCCGGGTTCACCGTGTTCTTCTCTCTCTGCCATGAGACACCTCGAGGTTGGAGGCAGTGAGCAGAGGGTTCTGGAAAGACAATTCCGGAGAGCTCTCTGTCTCACTTCCTTCCCCTCCTGGACTGTTTCTCTGCCAGGATGACAAATTGTTCAAATTTCTAAGATGTATTAAACAGAAATAGAAAATATATACATAGATCATTAAACAAATAAATGGATGGGAATGCATTCTACGAAGGGTTACGATGTCCCCACGGGACCTAGTGTCTCCTTTCTACTACGGACCGGTTCTGTCCCCGGGACAATCAGTGCCATAGGTAAATACATGGATGACTTCCAGGTGGCCGCCAGTCACAATCCTCCACAATGTGTGGCGGTGGAGATCTGTCTTCTCTATCATGGTGTCCGCTCAGGGGTTCGTGAAGCTGCAATCAAGTGTGTGGGCTGCATTTTGTCCTGAAGTTTCTGGGAAAGAATCTGCCGCTCAGTTCATTGGGCTGTGGGTGGACTTCGTTCGTTCCCTGCAGCTTAGCAGAGAGACCCTGTTTTCTCACTGCCTGTCAGCATCAGGATGGTCTCAGCTTCCCAAGGTCCGTTTCTCTGCCAGCAGCTCACAAGTAGCTGTTTGCTTCTCCCTTGCCCAGAATGGCTGGAGGATGGCTCTCTCATGTCTTTTTCTGCCTTCTGTCACCAGCCAGAGGAAGTTTTCCAGTTTCCGGGACTCACCCAGATAACCTTCCTTTACTAAGGTCAAGCAGGCCACGTGACATAATCACAGGAGTGATATCTCATCACATTCTGACCTTCTGGGGATGACATAGGGACATTTTCCAGAGGGTTGTATTCTGACCTACTATGCCCTTTCTTCAAAATTCTGCACTTATTGAAATTTGTAATTATTCTTCTTTAAGTAAAACAACTTATTTCCTGAATTCCCCTTTGACTTTAATCTCTATAAGGGCAGTATGTACATCTTTTTTGCTGTTGTATCCCCACATCTAACATGGGCTTGGTGCCTAAGAGGCACCGATGATACTTGTGAAATGTATGAATAAATGAGTGAAAGAATGAATGAACAGTGGGTGAAACTCCACTTGAAATGACCCACACAGGGCCAGCCTGCAGGCTATAAATCAGATATGATCAACATGTTTAAGATGCATAGGACAGAGAGATAAAAAAAAAAAAAGAAAGTTCCAGAAAAGTGTTGGAGCAGATTGACTGGTTGGAAGGGCATGGTGGGGTGTGTGGAATGGACGACCTCCGGGGGATTCTCATCAGCCTCACCCCCTCCACCCAGCTCTT